GATAGGCAGGGAGGAATGGAAGTGATTGACTCGGAAATGCTGTCTTCACACAAAGTATAATTACCACACACTTACTCATGATTTAAATATTATGAATTCGAGGAAATCCCTTGAAATACATGTGTAGGTATATGGCTCCAGTTCTATGACAGGCAACTAGTGTGGGGTGCCTATCGTGAGCCAAGAGTCCACAGCGGGAAAATCATAAATTCATCTCCTGTGCTTAGTGAGACGATGTCCCTGAGCATTGTCAAAATGCCAAACGATAATTAGAAACAAACTGATTAAGAATGGTGTATTCCCAAGGGGGAAACAAAGACCCCCTCCATGTAAAATCGAGGACTTGGAAGAAAAGTTGCTTCTGATTCATCGGCACCCTGCATACAACACAAAAGGAGCGCAGTGCCCTCCTCTCACTCCTGGCTGTGTTTGAGCCCCTAGTCCTCACCAACACTGTCATTCAAATCGAGTCTTCTCCAGGCCTGACTCCTGTCAGCTTGGCACAGGGAGTGAGCACGCCCAGTGCTGCGTCCTTTTGCTCAGATACTTCAGTGGGAATTCTGTCGATTCCTAGAGCCTGGTTTTTGGCCGATGCCTTCAGTGCAGCTTGGAATTCTTCCTTCAATACCATCAGTGCCCTATCCTTGAACGTCAACCAATTCTTTTTAGCACAGTGACTGTCTATTCTTTCCACCTTCTTTTTCTTCTGATGCCTCCTGCTTCGCTCAGTGGACTCCTTCAACACTGTAACTCAAGGCCTGAATTTTTCTTCAGTTCTCTCACCTTGTAGGGAAGTTCAAACATGTTCAACTCTGGAATTCCAGTTCCTTGTACATTTCATTGTAATACTTTGTCTTCTTGAGCCGCCCTTGGAAATCGATTGTTCAGACCTTTTACTATGTTAGGTCTTTGGTTTGCTTTAGCTATTCTACATTTATGAGAAAGTTTCAGGGTCGCTTTAATAGAGACCATTTTGGTCTTTTCTTTCTTCTCTCTCTCTCTCTCTTTTAAATCAATTTATTGAGGCTCATACAATTCATTACAATACATAGATCAACTGTGTAAAGCACATCTATACATTTGTTGCCCTCATCATTCCCAAAATTCACTTGCCTCTTGGGTTCCCGTCTTTCTTCTTTTTAATGACCTCTTGCTTCCTTCAGATGTGATGTTCTTGATCTCATTCCCCAAACTCCTCTCATCTTCAGTCATCAGTGTTCAAGGCATCACATCTATTCTATGTGCAGGTCAAATATACCCAAGGCTGTAGTTTGGCTCTAGTTTTAATTTCCTTCAGCTTAACTTGAATTTGAGCAGTTGGCCCCTTGCCGAGGTTTAACTGATGCTACGGAGTCTGTCCATCCATCTTTCCATAGACGTAGTTGATGTGATTCCTGAGTATCCTATCTGTAAGCTCATGCATATAGTCACTGTTTAGGCAGTTGGATGGGTATTTGCAATAAGTTAGCCTTGTAAAATTCTATCATGCAATCTCTAGTGTTGTTTCTATTACCGTTTTCCAACTCTAGATCGTTCCTTGTTTTCAACTTTTGCATTCAAATTACCAATAATTATCAATGCATTGTAAATGCACAGTTGATTGATTTCAGATGGCATTAATTGTTAAAGATCTTCGATTTCCTTATCTTTGGCATTGGTGGCTGGTGCATAAATTTGAATAATAGTTACATTAACTGGTCTTTCTCTTAGGAATATGGATTTCATCCTAGCACTAACAGCATTGTACCCCAGGATAGATTTTGATATGTTCTTTTAAACCAGGGGTGGGGAACATCTGGCCATGGGCTGCAGAAAGCCCTCAGAATCATCAACATCATCTGCCTCACCCAAGAGAAGCAGTTCCAGCCATCACATTAGGAGTGAAGTAATTCAATGCAATGTTTGGCCAAATATAAGCCCAAACCAAACTCACTGACATGAAGTCCTTTCCTGCTCACAGGGACCCAATAGGAACTGCCACTGTGGGTTTCTAAGGCTGTAGCTCTTTACGGGGGTAGAAAGCCTCCTCTTTCTCCCATGTAGTGGCTGGTGGTTTTTAACTGCAGACCTTGTGGTTAGCAGTTCAATGTCTAGGCACTCAATCACCCGGGCTCCTTTGATTAATACAGCAGGCTAATTTTTAAGTTGATCATTTTGTATGGCCTGAGCATGATTTTATAAATATCCACATGGCTCCGGGCAGACAAAAGGACCCCAGTCCTATTTTAAACGATGAATGTGAAGTCGCTCCTCTTCAATTTCTCATTCCCAGTGTAGAAGACCATGGGGTTGTGTGATCCAGAATGACCAATACCACTCTATTTCATGCCTAGATTAGGTATCTTTATAAGATCTAGTTGTTTATGACTTCCAATTTTTCTAGATTCATACTTTGAACATTCCACATCCCAATTATTAATGGATGTTTGCAGCTGTTTCTTTTCATTGTGAAAGCAGATGTCAGTCCCTAAAGCTCTTCTTTAACTATGTCATTAAGGTGATCTCTACTTTGAGGCGGCAGCTCTTCCTGAGACGTCAGACCTGAGCAGCTCATCTTCTGACCCCACGGCACACGGTGCTGCCTTTCCAGGCATGGACGGCCTCCTCCGTCTTCTTGGTCTTCGTCTGGAAGCTGGGCTGAAACCTGTCCACCATGGGTGACGCTGCTGGTATTTAAAGTGCCAGTGGCAAAGCTTCCAGCACCACAGTACAACAAACTGACAGATGAGTGATGACATTATTGGTTATAACATTATTAGTAACTTAACAAAAGTCTTTTCAAAATTTCTCCTCCTTTTCCTTGAATTGCTACTTCATTCTCGAGAAAGTTATTAATATAGGTTCAAAAACACTACTTACCACAATACTATAGCTCATACACCAGAAAATTTGACAAAATCAGTGACTGTAAAAATACGGGCCAATGAAAATGACAGCTTGAACTCATAGCAATGTGAAGAGGAAGCCTCAGGATTCGAAACAGCATTGTAATTGGGTCATAATTACAGTTCCGACTGCAGTGCATTCAAGGAAATTAGCATAGAGCATTAGCCTGGAAGATATATCAAGATATGTAAACTGGACTCAAGAGCACTGGTGGCTAAGTGGGTAGGTAACGTGTTGGGCTGCTAGCTGCAAGGTCAGAAGTTCACATGACCAGCTGCTCCCAAGGGAGAAAGACGAGGCTTTCTACGCTGGTAAAGGGTTAGTCTCGGAAAACCAAGGAGCAGTTACCCCACGTCCTATCGGGTCACTAGGAGTCAGAAATGACTCTGATGGCAAGGGGCGCTGGACTTAGGAAAAATGCTTTAGCTGCTATCGCTAACTACAGGAATATTTCTATTTAAAAATATGAATTTCAAAAAATATATATGAATTTCTCTGGAAACACTGCATAAAAATTATATAGTCATTTTGTTGGCATCCCTCTGGCAGTGTCACCTGGGGGGATCTGCACCTTGGGCTCACTCCCCCACATCCTCATTGACGCCACTAATGGTCGCCCTCAATCTCAGCACCCCTGACATGGGGCTGGATGCTGTGCATTGTAGAATGTTTGGCGGCATGCCTGGAGCATGCCCACTAGAGGCCAGTAGCACGCCCCTTCCCACTGCAGTTCTAACAACCAAAACTGTCTCTAGATCAGCAGTTCTCAACCTGTAGGTCATGACCCCTTTGGGGGTTGAATGACCCTTTCACAGGGGTCACCCGATTCATAACAGTGGCAAAATTACAGTGATGAAGTAGTCACGGAATTAATTTTATGGTTGGGGGTCACCATCACATGAGGAACTGTATGAAAGGGTCGCGGCGTTAGGGAGGTTGAGAACCACTGCTCTAGAGGCTTCCAGATGTCCCCTGGGTGGGGGGCAGAATTCACCCCAGGTGAGAACCCTGTCCTTGGACCTAGCAGTCTTCTCTAGGTTTGGATTAGCTGCCAGGCTGGAGGGCTCCCAGCTGAGCGGTATGGTCTTGGAGCTCCAAGAGCCAAAGTTCCAGGCAGCTCTGTTCAGGCCAGCTCCTCCCCTGCCAAGAACTCTTGGAACGACTTGGATCCCCAAACCTTGATGACTGAGCTAAGTGTCTCTGGACCCCTGGGGCTTGGGACCATCTTGGTTTTTCTGTCCTGGCTGCTCACTCTGCAAGTTGGCTACATTTTCAGGCAAATGCCAATGCTACCGTCAGTGCCTCACAGAGCTTCCTATCAGGATCACTAGCAGATGGGATACAGTCCCTTCCTCCTCTTTGTTTTTTCCTTCCTCTTCTTTAGAAAACCTTTTTTTAAAAGCTGAACTGCTCAGGGGGGCTGTCTCCCCTAGGGATAGGGCATGACTCTGTCTCTTTCTTGCTTTCCCTCTCCATTAAGATTCAAGGTAGCATTCATTCCCTCTACCAAAAGTGCACTGTCATCGAGGAGTTCTGCTCAGAGGAACTGCCGCTGTGGGTTTCCAGGGCTGTGTTACCTCTATGGCAGCAGAAAGCCTCATCTTTCTCCGGTGGAGAAGCTGGTGGGTTCAAACTGCAGACCTAGTGGTTAACAGCCCAGCCTCTAACCCACTCTACCACCAGGAAGTTTAAAATCAACCCACTCCCACTCACCTCTCCAAACTTGGGGGGGGGGGGAGTATCAAATGGAGCCCACTCACAGAGAGCACTAGATCCCGTTTGCGTCTGGAGTTCTTCTGTCCACTCCCTGTGGTCCTGCGCTGGGAAGCGGGGAAGCCGAGGGGCTGTCTCAGCACCCCAGGTCCCCCAGGGCCTGGCTCCTCCAAGGCGCTGTCCAGCACAGCAGCAGCACTGAGCCCATCTTCAGGGTGGGGTGGAGGAAGCTTGGCGCCATTCTCTGGCCCCGGTTGGAGAGCCAGTTGTGTGGCTGGTGAGAGCTGCTTGGCATAAGTAGGGACGGGCACCCGCTGCACAGCGCCCTCAGAGGCCACGTAGTCCTCGGCCAGCTAAGACACACATAAAAGAGAACAAACAGCCTATTAGCCTGGCTGCCTGGGGGGGGGCCGGGGGGGGTGATCAAGGACAGTGAACCGAGTGGAAACCTAGCAGTCTTTCACGGCCAGAGGCTTGGTTGGTTCTCGAGGACTCCAATGGGTGTGTTGGGCAAACCCTTGTGTGTGCAGGGTCTCTCAGGTTGGGCAAACCCTTGTGTGTGCAGGGTCTCTCAGGTTGGGTCACTCCAACAGGACAGATTACAGGGGACAAGGCACACTTCAGATGCTCTATTTGTGAATGGGGACTTATGGTTTGCTCTTGGGTCTAAGAAATGTGGCTGGGAAATGTTTCGAGAACACGGAAGGGAAACGAAGCAAAAGAAGGGACCAGGGGAGAACACAATAGCAACAAGAAACAGAAAAAAATAGGGACAAACGAGCAGAGGAGGGAGAGTCAGAGACCTCTAAGGCAGTGGTTCTCAACCTTCCGAATGCCGCGACCCTTTCATCCAGTTCCTCATGTAGTGATGATCCCCCAACCATAAACTTATTTTCATTACTACTTCATCACTGTGATTTTGCTACAGTTATGAATCGGGTGACCCCTGTGGAAGGGTCACTCAACCTCCAAAGGGGTCGAGACCCACCGGTTGAGAACGGCTGCGCTAGAGGGATTGGCAGTGTGGGTGCTGCCCTCCCTTTTGGTGGCCACTCCTGTGCCCTCACCTGGACCCCGCCTGGCAGCATCTGCTGGACACTGCCCTGGCACCTGTGGTTTGACCGTCTGTGTCCTCACTCAAGGGCATGCAGGGCAGGGAAAGGCAGAGGGAGGAAGGGGGAGAAGCAGTGGGGGCGGGGAGGGAGGGGGATCTGCAGTCAAGAAAACAAACCGTGAAAGTGAAGGGAAGGAAACACCGACAGAAACAAGCGGGGGAGGAGGCGAGATTTATAGACCTGTGAGCTGCTCTCCGCTCTGTGGAATCTAACTCCATCCTGGAGTCTTGGAAGCCTTCCCTGACTGCAAGCCCACAGCCCAGGGTCTGGCCCGGCCCCTACCCTGCCCCTCACCCCCAAGCTTCCCCCCTCATCCCCAACCTCTGACACCCTGGCCAGGCAGGCACAGACAGGGGCAGCCGCTGTGGCCATTAGCCACATGGCTCTGGCTTTGGGGGCACAGTGGCCAGTGGCAGTGTTACATTGCAGGGGCCAAGGGGAGTCCACACAGTCGTTTCTCAAACCCTGCAGATGGGCTGGGAGTTACATCCCTCCCATCTGCCCTGTTCTGCTCCCTTACGCTTGCCTGGGTGTCTGCGTGGTGTCTGGGGGGAGGAGGAGGAGGGAGGACAGGGTGGAGGCAAACCTCCCACTGGCTTTCAAGTGGTAACACATCTGCTACTTTCCATCTCTGCGATCGCTCTCGATGCTTCCCCATCTCCTTTCAGTATTTTTACACGCGACGTTGTTCTGCAGCTTTTACTCCACACGGCCAGGGTTCCCTGCTCCTGTGGCCCTGAGCAGTCTCCAGAAATAGAACCTCGTACGCCTCCGGCTGTCCCTGCTCCAAACATGTGCTCACTAGCGGCCTCCCTCCTCTTCGCTCTTCCTCCCTATGTGTGTCCCCTAACTAGTAATTCTCAATTTTCCATTTCTTTTTCTCATTTTATTTCCTTTTCTCTAGCTCCCCTCTCACCTTGCCTCAAATCCTCCTTCCCACAGGGAGTGCCCCCTTTCCACACAAATCCATCTTTCTGCTATGTTCCCCGTTCCACTGTGCTCCTCCCTCAGCCCTTCACTGCTGCCGCTTCCCTGCCAGCATCTCTCTCCCTGTGCCTCGCTCTCCTCCACATTCCCATCTCTCCCCATACTGAACTCCTCTTGGCAAGCAGAGGGCCTGTGATAAAATATGAATGAGCCGTCTGTGCACGGCAGGCACTCTCGCCAGGAGAGGCAGAGCCAGTGGAGGAGAAGGTGCCGTGGAGGAGCTCCTGAGAGGGAGCACAGGCCCCGTCTGCACCCCGTGACCTCCTGCCACAGCACCTGACGGCCTGTGAGAAAACAGGAACGCTGCCGAGCCTTAAAGGCTGGAGAAGCAGCAGTCCTGTCGTTTTAGTACAAATCCAAGCAAAGGAGGGCTGGGAGATGAACAGAAGAGAAAGGGGTGGGGGGCAGGCGGGGAGGAGACGGGACCCGGGGCTAACACTCAGGAAGGATGGCGCCCTGTCCCTCCTCTGCCCATACTCACAGGGTTGAGCAGCGAGGGCCCCTCGTTGGCAGCCAGTGCACATCTCTGGGTGGTGGGGAAGCCCAGCGGACCAGGCCCCCCAGCTGAGGCTGCTCCCAGCTGCCGCAGCTCCTCGATCACCACCTGCACGCCACTGCCCACGCTGTCACACTCCTCGTCGCCTGTGCACAGGGCCTTGCAGGCTTCCCCAGGGCTCTCCTTGGGGGGCTCAGGCTCCTCAGGTGGGGGGCTCTGCGCAGCGCCTCCACCATCCTGATCCAGGGGGAGCGCTTTCCCCTGCCGGAGCTCACCCACGTCCCCCTGCAGACGTTTCAACAACTCATTGTTGGCCCTTGCAAGACCCAAGGCCGCCTCGGCCAGGCCCACCGCCTTCTCTACCCGCTGGTAGATGACATGCAGGAGCTGCTCTGAGCTCTGCACTGCCAGGCCGTGCCCGGTGACAGTGATCGGGGTGCTGGGCGGGGGGTGCCCGCCCTGGGAGCCCGTGCTGCCCCCGCTCGTCTCGTTCTTACAGGCACAGCAGCAGCAGGTGGCCTCGCTCCCACTGGGTGGGGAGAAGAGAATGGTGGCGCTGAAGGACATGGCTGGCTGAAGCAGTGACAAGCCGGCTCACCCGGCTGGGCCTTTCTTTCGGAAAGGAGTCCAGAACCAAACCGGCCTTCACAAGCTGGGTGGGAAGCTCCAGTCTCTTGGGATTTACGCCCCTTTCTCATCGAGGGGGCTCAGCGGAGCTGGGAGAGGGGCCGAGGAGGATGGACGCAGGGGGAGAGGGCACTGTCCATGGCTGCCGATGTGCCTTCCAGCCGCAGCTCCTGCTCACCAGCATGGGGTGTCAGGCTCACCTCTCACTGAAGCAGGGTGCCTGCAGGGGCCTACCTGAGGAACACAATTTCAGAGAGTAGATGGCATTCTTCTTGTCCCCAAGCCTGGGAAGCCCCTTGCCCCCACCATGACAACCTAAGGAAGAGAGAAGGGACCCGGAAGGGCCCACAGGCCTCCGGAGAGTAGAAGATGAAGGAAGAGGATGGAGACGTGTGCTCGCACTCTTTGACTGTAAGAACAGCCCCGCGTTCCTGCTTTGACGGGATTCCCTACAGGGGTTCACAGTGCTTCCCTCCCATAGGTGACCGCAGCCACACGCAGCCACACAACAGCTCTAGGAAACACCTACTCCTCTAGGTCCCGGGAAGAGCCACGCAGAGAAGTTATCTGTCTTTTTCAAGGTCAGAGGAGACAGCAGAGTGCAGTTATTGCTACTTCCAGTCTAG